TAGTGGAGTGTGTTGTGTAGAAGAGAAATTTTCTACTGTTTTGAGAACTATAGTGCTTCAATACAGCTAGTCTTAGGAGTGACAGGAAGAATTATATAAAGAAGAGACTGGAGAGATAGGCAGGGGCTAGATCATCAAAGCCTTGAAAGCCAGGCTGAGACTTAAAACTTAACCTAAAGGCAAAAGAAATTACTGTGGGGTTTGCGCAAGGGAGTGGCATGTTTAGAATTTTTTATTTAGAGCCATCACTCTGTGTAGAGTATGGACTGGAGGAGGCAAGGCAGGGAGATGATGAGAAGGCTGTTGTAGTCCAACTGAAGATGATGAGCTCTTTCGTGACCTGAACTTTGGGTCAGCTTTCAGTGAAACTTTTTCAGGCTTGGAGCTAATCATTTGGATTGGGGAAACTGAGAAGAGGCCACATGTTTAAAGCAGGTGCATATAAGTTTGGGACAGCCCAAATACTTATTTCTTCTAGGTAGCCTTTACTCACCTGCATGTGGGCAGAGATCAGCACTGTTTTGGGGGCCTACACAGCACTTTGTCAAGTTCTTTACTATGACACTTATCACATGCCTGGGATTATTTATTCCTTTGTTGGCCTCCTCTGAGAGCTCTGGTATCAATGTCAGGCAACTCTGTCTTATTCATTTTTGTATCTTCAGTGTTTGGAAACATTGACAAACATTTGCTAAATGAATGAAGAGGAGAAGGAAACTGTGTGGTGTGGTGGGAAAGGCAATGAACTTGTCTGGAAGTGAGGATCTAATTCTGGCTTTGCTACTAAGTGGATGCATGACTTTGAACCAGTCTCCTCACTGCTCTGGGTCTCAATGTCCTCATCTGTAAAATGAGAATAAAAATACAACCCTCCTCCTCAGGGTGATGGAGATTAAATGAGGTAACAGAGCTCACCAGCTGCCTGCCCTGTTTGTGCCCTGCCCTTGTGAAACAACCTGGACTATTGTTCCTTTCATTTGGATCTCATTTGCTCTCTCTCCTGGTGAGAGCCAAGCTGAAAGCTACTGCTCTGATGGAGGGGAAGTTTTGCAGCAGTGGTATTACATACAAACTAGGTGGCCCCTGTGTTGCTGGAAGGGCAAACACTAAAAAAAGGGGGACATGTTAGGCTAGAGAGACACCTGCTTTTTTGTAACCCCTTAAATCTAAAGGAGAACCCGAAGTGGGGAGAGTGAAGCAGAGATCTACATCATGCTCTACTGGGTCAGAGGAAGCCCTTAAACCATGTTCCTAAGCCCAGGAATTTAGCAGCATCTGGAAGAATGCCACTTCTATGGAGGCCACTCATTTATCTAATGTCATAATTTTTCAGTGCCTTGGGCTGATATGATGAACTCTATCATGATTTTGCAAGTTCTAAGAAATATATAGAGGTGAGGTGAAAAAAATTGCAATGCCAAGTAAAAGGGGTACCATTCTGGAAAAATGAAAACAATCATGATTTTAGATACTGCTATCTGAAGAGATAACAGTCAATTTCCAGGTGCAATGTCTTTCTAGAGGTCCACTAGCATTGTTCTTTTTACATTCTAAAGGAAAACATTTTCACCAAAACTTGATATATCTCCACCTTGCAAGGCATGTGGCTGGGGAGGTCCTGAAATCCACAACGGATAATTTGTAGTTTTCTTAGAATCTCATTTATTGAGTTTATTTAGTTGCATGGACTTGGCCTTAACACAGGAAAAGTGGTCAAGGAAAGAGAATAAGAGGAAAAAAGAGGGATTGAGACCAGTGATCCTTCCCCAAAAGGTAAGTCAGTCCCCCCAAAAGGTTAAAGCTAGTGAGCTTAACAAATAATAAAAGTATGTTTTCATTTTGCAAGGCTTTTAAAAAATATCGTGTGCTCAGATGGCACCTTTAATCACAAATAACTTTTGGTGGAGTTCCAGGCTGATTCTGCAGGCACAGAAAGCTCTGAGATCATATCCTATATTCAGTGCATAGAAGAAATATTTCATCCATTTCTGAAATAAAGAAGGGGAAATGGATCACATTTGAACAGTTTCATAGCAAGGACATACCAGGGTGAAAAGTGAAGGACAAACCTATCTATATGGAGCTATAGAAACTATTAATTCTAAAAACTTAAGGGGCATTTTTTTTATTCTCAGAGTTTTACAATAAGCTAAGAAGCTTGCATAAATTTGAAGGCAATCTCCTATTTCACAGGTATATAAATGAAAGCAGACAGACTTTGTGATTTTCCAAAGTCTACTTTAAATTAAAAAAAAAAAAGAAAGGAGGGAGGCAAAAGGGAAAAAGAAAACAACTCCCAAAGTAGCAATTTGTGACCCAGGAGTTTGAGCTCTTAGAGCTGAATTTAATCCGCACCCAGGCCAAATATAATTCTCCAGGATGGAAATGGTCCAGGACACCAGAGCTAACATTCTCTACCTTTGCCAAAGAGCCTGAGGCGGTTTGGTGACAGTCAGAACCTCACTTCTATTTCTTAACTGAAAGAAAGGCAGGCCAGCATCATATGACAGGCACTTCCCACCATGGCAGGGCACTGGTTCAGGTCCATTAGAAGGAAGTGTGCTTCCCCTTGATTCACCATTGCCTCTTGCATCACTGTTATTCTTTGGAGGTTTCCTATTCAAAGGTTTATTTGTTGGACAGTTGGGTCAACATAATTTTAGGTGGCAAGGTTGAATCAGTTTTATTCTGTGTGCCAGTCTTGAGTACAAGATTATAGACTGTACTGCTTCTTTACTCCATCTCCCAAAACCTTAGCTGTGGGAAAGGCCTGGCAATTGCTCTGTGTATTAGAAATTGAAACCCCACCACTAAATGATGAAAAGTGGTCCAGGCAAAAGCTGCTGTGGAAATCTGAAAGCCATTATCTTTTCCACACTTCCTCTCTTCACCTTCATTTTGTTTGGGAATGCACAGGGACACCCATGAACAAAAATAAACCAATTTGCCCTTGACTGGATTGTTCTGCCTTTTGAGTTATCAAATGTGAGTACTTCTGGCTCCCAGATATAGTGAAGTAAAGAGACTCCTGGGAAGCCAGCCACAGATTAGAGTTGATTTTCCAGCATCTTCTACCTAGAGGAATGGTTCAGGACATTTAAATGAACAATGTGCTCTGTCCCAAAGTTGATCTGGCTTCTGAATCACATTTGGATTTTAGAAATGTAAGAAGCAAGCGTATGAGAATCCTAATGTTTTCTTAGCTCAAAACTGTCCTTACATTCTAGTGGCTCTTTTTAACACATGACTATATACAGAGTCCATACACATTTTGAGCATCTGCTCCTAGGAACTGTGTCAACTCAGAACACCTTTAAGGAAGGCAGAACCACTCCAGGAGGTAGAGGTGAAATGTGGCAACTCTTCCATGAATCAATAGAGCAGAGCCACTCAAGGAAGGCGATTTTGCTAGGACTTAAGTCAGGTTGTCAACCCAAACACAATGGGCTTTGTTGCTCTGGTGTAAAGAGGAAATGGAACAGTTTTTGGCCTCCCCAGATTACATTGTAGGGTCTGCAGAATGGCAATTCCAGGCATAACCTTCACACACACACACACACACACACACACACCTGCTTTTGACCATTGTGTTCCTCAGCAAGTTAATCAGCTGTTTTTAAAATGCATGGAAATAAATGTTCAACATTTTCATACTGAAGCCTATCACAGTTTTAAGCTTGGAGGTGGGGACTGGGTATATGTGGAATAGGGTCTGTTAGGGAAACAGAATAGAGCCCTTTTGGCTAAGGATACTAACACCTGTGATTTATCTCAGAAATCACACGCGCACTGTAACTGCAAGCCATTTTTTTTTCTTTCTTAAACACTCCAGCTGAGGGGCCCGCTGTGGCGTCCCCCTATTTCAAGTGGGGGAGTTATCTCTGGGTTCAAAAGTCCTTGGATGGGAAGCGCAGAGGAACTGAGAAATGAAACGCTTCCTTAAGAAATGCCTAATTGTTGTGTGTGTGTGGCGGGGCGGGGGGGGGGGGGGACTGGGCTCAGGTGGCTGCGGGGGAAGGTTGCAGGGGACTATGGGCACATCTCTCACTGAGCGGTAACGGTCCGGCAAGTGGGTATGGGGACCTTTGCTTTATTTGACAACTTCGCACGGGGGCTGGGGAAGGCTGTCTCAGCACAGTGAAGAGGTCTGTGGGGAGGGGCTCTGCCCCGGGACCTCCTAAGGACCAAAAGAGCGCGCATCCCGCCAAGTGACAGCAGGCGCTCCTCTCCGCCGCTCCTCCGCCCCCCACCCAGTCTCCGGGTAGAGGTATCTCGCGACAGCCGGTCCTCCCCTTCTCCTCACTCGTCCGGAAGGACCGAATCTCAGCGGGAGCCCCGCCTGTCTCCGGGCAGCCTGAGCCCCCGAGCGCTCACTCAGCCTGTCAGTAACCGCCGTTTGCGCTTTCTTTCTTTCTTTTTTTTTCCCCTTCTTTCCTTTTCTTCCCCCGTTCTGCCTTTGTCCAGCTTAGTAACTGAGCTCCGACCAATCGCCGCCTTACCGGCCGGCGCCGGATGCTTCCTGATTGGCCCGCTTGGGGCGCGCAGTCGTCTCCCGCTCCTTCTCCCGAGCAGGGCAGACAAAAGACGCAGGCTCCGAGCTCGGGCAACCGGGATCAGCCAATCACTACCCAGTTTATCCTCTCTTCCTCCTCGCTCCTCCCCCTCCCTCCCTCCTGTCCTAGCTCGCGTGCTTTGGGCTTCAATTCTTGGCTTGCGGCCAGCGCCCGGACCGTACCATTCTGATCGAGGCTGGGTGAAGAGATTGTGGGTAACGAAGGAGCTGAGGCCTAGAGAGTAGTGGAGAGGGTTGAAAGCCGAGATTGAGGACAGTTTTCTGAGTACTTATTCAGGAACATGACAGAATTCCCCGTTCATCAAGGCGGAATGGAGTGGAAGGGGCAGTGGTGGTGCTTGTTGTTCCCCGTATCCGGCGCAGTTGGGTGGCGCCTCAGCGGGGGAGCTTGGAGGCGGAGGAGGGTGTTCCCCTCTGCGCTGTTAAAATGAAACTAGTGGCTGGAGTCAGAGTAGAGCGTGAAGGGAACCGGCCTTGGCAGGCGTGCGTACAACCCGGCGGGATCGCGCTGCCGAGCACAGCTAACTGGACTCTCCGACGGGCCCCAATCTCGAGGCTGCATCAGCTGGGGTTCCGAACCCGACCAGACGGAGCCCGAGTCCCAGCACCTGAGGGGATAGACCTGCAGACCAGTGGGACCCCGAAACTTGAACCCAGTACCAAATCCCCCCCCCCCCCCCTTTATGCTTTCCTTTGTCACTTCCCCACCTTGCTCCCGGCGCTTCCCTTTTTTTTCCGCCTTTATTTACCGAAGGACACAAAAGTGGCTTCTGCGGACAGATTTGGAGGCGGTGGGAGCTCTTCTCTTCGAAGAGTGAATGTGTAGAAGGGATTTTTTGGGAAGCTGCTTTTAATACCTTTGCCCTCCCTCGGAGCGTCGTTTTACCTCCCGGAGGAGCAAAGCCCGTTGATTGAAAGTTCGGGGGCATTTTGTTTGGTGCTGTAGCGAAGAGAGGTAGAGGGATAGAGGATCTCCTCGTCCCAGTAGTTGCTTGGACTTGGTACCGGTTGTTGGAAATCCTGAAGTACATTTCCGTGTGGGACTTATACAAATATGTACTTTTAAATATCATAAAAACATATGCTTTCTATATATTTCTTGACAACCTGCCCCTGACAGCGCGATGTACAATACGGTGTGGAGTATGGACCGCGATGACGCAGACTGGAGGGAGGTGATGATGCCCTATTCGACAGAACTGATATTTTATATTGAAATGGATCCTCCAGGTACTTGGGAGAAAAAAAGAATTTTGTGATGGGTCTGATTTGTGTTTAACAAGACCTTGGTGATGTTTTCAGTGCAGAAGTATTCCTGGGTACTCTAGCTTTGGGGTGTGGGGGCAGATTTGCAGTTAGAGCTGCAGTGAAACTGCTGCTGGTTTGCACGTTTAAAGTTTGCATTTAGGACCCTGATCCTATTGTCCTGCGAGGGTGGGGGTGGGGGACATAGTGGGGGTGGGAGGAGAGAACCGTAGATTTTTCTTTTCTTTTCCTTTTTTTTTTTTTTTTACTTTTTTGCCTTTGCATTTCGTTCAGGTTTGTCGTCTCTCCCCTCCCACGCCCCTTTTCTCTTTCAATTAAAGATTCTTCTACTTGCAAAAGATGCTTTATATCCAGTTCTGAAGTCAGTCTTTCCCTCTGGGAGAATTCTTTAAAGCTTGTCATTTCCTGCATTTGTCTCCTTTGGTTCGTTGTTTTACCTTCGTTAACTTCCGAAACTGGCTTGCCGGTGTGATTATTCATTTTAAGAACAGCCCCCCCCCCCCCCCCGCCCTTTTCTCTTACGGAAACCAAATGCCGGTTAGTGATTTTCAGGGACTGGGCGTTTTTATTCAGTTGTGGCCTTACTCTGAGGATTTTTTTTTCTCCAAATATAGTCGCTCAGAGAGACCTACGTGCAATATTTTATTACTCTTTAATTTGTGGTGATTGAACTTAATTTATGCGATAGGGTTTAATGTAACTTCAATTCTTACATTAAAAAAAGGAGGAACCTTGCTTGTGTGAATATATGTGATGTGTACATATATGTGATAGGTTCGACTATATGTGATGTAAAACATACATATATTGTATTTCTACTTTAGAGCTTTGTCTGAGACCCTTACAGACATTTTGTGTATCTGGTAGGAAAGGAAAAGGAAGGAAAAATGGGAAAGTTGGGTACATTTTTTCTCTAAAGTCTATCCCATTTTATAATTATTAGCTGTCAGATTTTCAAATCCTGTTTGCAATTATGGACAGTGCTTTATGTAATGATTTTAAATAAGTAAAGGGCCTTTGTGACTTATTTTTGTTGAGCATGAATTCGTTGTGTCTTTAAAAAATGTGTTAATAGCTAAATCTACAAAATTAATTGTGTGTCATTGGGGAACCTTAATTATTATAAGCTTATGTGTCTTTGGAAACGTTTGAAAGGATTTGAGACCATGCAAATGTAATGAAGTATTAACTGCCTTATAGAATGTGTGCAGAAATTATTTCCTGTGTCCTTGTGAACAGTGAATTATCCTTTGTTTTTTTTCCAATTAGTCATAGAGTGTTAAATGATGCTATATTAAAAACATACTAATGTTAAATCAACCTTTTTCACTCTTATGATCACTTGGAATTTTTTCCATTTCCCTTCATATTGGAGTCTTCATTATTTGCTTTTATAATTGTGAATGCAATCCAAACACAGCTTTTCAGTGTTTTGTGAAGTTTGTAAGATTTGCCACTCATCTATTGTGTGTATTTCCCCTTTTGTTCCCCCCCAATGGGAAAGCATCATTTCTATTAGATGCATTTGTCATTCATGTGAATGGAAATTTAGTACATCATAGGTTCCTCTCCTGTAAAAAGTAAGATTAATAATTCTAAATTTTCATTATTATAAAAATTATATATTCAAACTGCCTTAAAATCATACTGTGTCTTGCCTTGAAGACATACAAAGGGAATTTGTTGGGCGGAGAGTTGAGTGGGGAGGAGGGGAGAAAATAAAGAAGGCACTAATTTTTGAAGAGTGTGGGCCCAGTGGAAGAATATTGGCCAAGTTGAGTTGAGTTGTCCAAAAATGACTTTAAGAAAAGTTGACTATTGTAATTATGTAGTGATGTGGGTTTTATAGGGTTATATAGAAAATTCTGACCCAAACTTTGTGTATTTTGTGTTAATAAACTTTGAGTTTAAAATGTTCATCCTTTAATGAAATTTTGCATACTGAGAGTGTATGTAGAATATTGGAAATATGCATGTGGTGTTTTCTTTATTACCCATTTTGTAGTCTTAGTGTATAATACACTATCAGTTATTCCTAACAGCTTTTTAAAAAAGGAAGCACACTTAAGTACGCTGAAATATTCCCTATGAAGTAAAAGGTTTTTAATGGAAGTAATGTGAATGCCAAGCTTGTTTTGTGTTACAAATTGTTTCTGAAAAGTTTAAACTAAGTAAATTATTAGTGAAGAGGTTGCAACATGCCCTGTATCTGTCTTTTTCCCAGCTCCTAATCCAGATCAAGCTCTTATTTTCTGCCTGCATTGGTATGATAGTACACTAATCGCTGTCCTGTTTCTATTCTGTCCAGTCCACAGTGTTATTAAAGTATCATCTGATAATTTCCCTTCCAATGGTAAATCTAACAGTGACTTAAAAAACCCACCAGTGGCTTCCCTTTGCCTACTGAAGAAAGCCCCAGATTGCTTATCCTGCCATATAAATCCATCTATATTTGCTTCCAACCTAATTTTCCAGTCTATTCTCCTGCTAGAGTCCATCACAAGTTCTATGGAAGCAGTTTTCTATTTGCTATTTCTTGAATGTATGCTTTTTCCTCTTTCTGGGATGCCTTTCATTTCAAGTGGTTACTTGTTTAAATCTTATATATGTTTAGGGTCCAGGTTAGATGCCTTCTTTACCACAATGTATCATTCACTTGTGTTAGAAAACACTCCTCTCTCTTCTAGTCCTTCTCATGTCCAAAGCTTACCCATATGGTCTATTAGCTTGCACTTCAGTTTTGACATTGTTACTGTTTTTGTTTTGGGAATATGTAATCAATGATTTTTTTAAATTAGTGGATACAGTTCCTTTTAAGGTTGTCTGTAGACATTTTGAAAAAGATTTTATGTATTTATTTCAGAGGAGAAGGGAACATCACTGTGTGGTTGTCTCTTGCGTGCCCCCTATTGGGGACCTGGCCTGCAACCCAGGCATGTGCCCTAGATTGGGAATTGAACTGGCAACCCTTTGGTCTGCAGGCTGGCACTCAATCCATTGAGCCACACCTGCTATGGCTGTAGACGTTTTTTTGTTGTTCTTATCAAGACAAATTTCTGAAATTATCTTTGGGGCAGCAACATCTCTTCAGTAGTAATTAGAAAATTAAATGCTTTGGATTGTTTGGCAAAACATAAATATAGGAAGGTCTAGAAAGTGGTTCTCAATTTTTCATTTCAGTACCCCTTTATAGTCTTAAAAATTATTGAGGATCCCAAAGACCTTCTATTTAAGTGAGTTATATTTATTGACATTTATTGGATTACAATAAATATGAGGAATTAAAAATACTCATTTAAAAATAATAAAACATTACATGTTGACATAACTTTTTTAATGAAAAAATACATTTTCCCAAAAAACAAAAAAAGTGGTAAGTGGCATTGTTTTATATTTTTGCAAATTATTTTAATATCTGGCTTAATAGAGGACAGAAATTTCCATGTCTGCTCCTGCATTCAGTCTGTTAAGATATCATGGTTCATAGCCTCTGGAAAGCTCCCCAGTACAGTTGTGAGAGAATGAGAGTGCAGAAGGCAAATAATTCCGTGGTAATACTATGACAGTGTTTTTGACATCTCGGATCCTCTGAAAGGGTCTTGGGGACTCATCGGGGTCTCTGACTACACTTTGAGAACTACTAGTCCAGAAGTTACCTGACTACACAATTTGATGGCCAGCCTAGTAAAGTGTCTTCTGATTTTTTGAAGTCAGATGAAAAGATTGTTTCAGGAAACTTACTCTGGCATACTTGGATTTACCAGGATTTTCATCCTGGTAAAATTTAGGTTAAGTAGCCTTTTGGTGGAGAACTGGCACACTGGTCCTGTAATTGGGGAAAAAATATCTTCGGAGAAACACTGAAGATATAGGTCACCTGCCACCGTGTGGTCTTTACTGTTAACAGGTTAGGCATTCTACTTCTGTAATTGAATTAGTCTTTATAATTTTGAACATTTGATGGGTTCATCTTATATAAATGCTTCTTCTATATGTGTAAGGTACTTATTTTATATGCTAGGTGTCAGTTTATAATGATATTATATTATGGGACAAATGTATATAATATAATCAAATGATGTAAAAGCTATGTCATTTTTTCACATGTTATTGAGAAAGGTTAGTCATTGCTTTTATTTAATATATTATAGCTTGTATTTTATCCAACTAGCCTTGGATAAAATAGAGGTATGGTGATTATTGCATAATGCTTTTAAAATTTATTCTCATCATTGTTTTTATGGTGAAGTTTATATTTTCTTATGTGTAAAAGATTAAACATGTTTATGGTCACCATATTTAACAAAGTAGGTAAAAAAATAATTACAAATATGTCTATGTGACATGGTATAATTTTTATTGATATAGACTGAGTATAATAGAAAGAACAGAGGCTTTGGAAACAGGTCATATGGATTTCAAACCTGGCTTTGCTTCTTACCCTACCCCAAAATTATATGGCTAGTACTTAACCTCTGAACATCTATTTTCTCTTTGTAAAATTGAGCTAATAGGTACCTTTCAGAGTTGTCCTAGGGATTAGAGGTACTATATCTAGCATGGTGTTTGACACATGATATGTACTCAGTTCATTGTAGCTTATATCTTAAAGCATATTGATAACATAATTATTCTACTCTATCTCTTTGGATACTTTTGCAGTCAAACCTTTTGAGCTATCTTGCCCCATTCTTTTCTTCATTGCTGACATTTAAACTGGGGCCACTTTGCTTTTAGAACAGTTCTCCTGGGTCTTTTCTCGTTATAACATCTCACGAATCTATGGAAATGTCACTCTAAGTCATCTTTCCGTTTAGTTTTTATTGCCCTTGTCCAGTTCCACGGCACTGCACTTTTGAAATGATTTGTAATGATGGTAACAGTTGCTAACATTTGCTGAATAGTTATTACAGACCAAACACTATGTTAAATGCTTTAAATATTTTTTTTATCCTCACTTGAGG